GGCAAAACACATATGTGACAAAGCGCTTGTACCAAAAGAGATATAAAGACTCATAAAACTCAACAATAAGAAAACAGACAAGCCTATTAAAAAATGGGTAAGAGTTCAGAACAAATATCTTACCATAGAAAATACACAGATGGAAAATAGCATATGAAAAGATGCTTAACATCAAATGTCATTAGTGAACGGCAAATTAAAACGAGATATTACTATACACCTATTAAAATGGATAAACACTGACAATATCAAAGGCTGACAAGGACGAGGAGCAGCAGGAGCTTGCATTCATTGCTGGTGGGAATGCAAAATGATACAGCCATTCTGGAAAACAGTTTGGCACTATCTTATAAAGCTAATCAGAACCTTACCATACGATCCAGTAATAACGTTCCTAGGTATTTAGACAAATGATTTGAAAACTTGTCTACAGAAAAACTTGCCCATGAATATTTATAGCAGCTTTATTTATAGCTGCCAAAAACTAGAAGCAACCAAGACATCCTCCAATTGATGAATAGATACACAAACTCTGATAGATCATACAATACAATATTATTAAGTGATTAAAAAAAACACAAGACACTAATGAACTTTAAATGCATAATCCTAAGCGAAAGAAGCACCTCTGACAAGGTTACATGATTCCAATTACATGATGTCCGGAAAAGGCAAAACTATAGAGAAAATTAAAAAATCAGTGGTTGCCAGGTTAAAGGAGTGCTAGGTGAAGCAGAGGATTCCTAATGTGTTGAAATTATTCTGTATACTTTGATACAGTAATGATGGATACATGAAAGTACACATTTGTCAAAGGCCATAGAACTTCAGAGGACAAAGAGTGAACCTTAATGTATGCAAATTTTTAAAAAATCATTTAGAAGGTCAGGGGATCCCAGGATGGAATGCAGATTGTGACAAAAGGATCTAACTGTATTATAGTGTGCAACAACCTCACTAAAGAGGATAGGAGGAAAAGAAGTGGAATCTGCAAGACTAAAAACAAAAGGAACCGCACATAAGCACTGTATTCTAGTTGATAAAGTTGTTTCCCGCTCTCTGTAAAGAGAGTACAGGTTAACAACTTCAATACTACTATACATATATAATGGAACTGAACAACTAAGTAAAGGGATGGACGATGGCAGAAGCCAGGTTCCTTCTCACTGTTGGAATGAGTTTACAGATAAGCAAGGGGAAGAGGCCAGAATGATTATAGCAGGTAATGGATTAGGTTGAGTAAGACACACCCATATGAACTCATATTTAGCTTAATACAGGTACACATGGTTACATAGAGAAATAGATATAGCTGTGTATACAGGTGTACAAGTGTATAAGTACCCATGAGTTTGTATACACACACATACTTCCTGCTCTGTTAGATGAGAGGGCCTAGAAGCAACGACACCCCAGTAGCAACAAGAACATCTAGCACACAGATCTTGGCTTCTAATACCACTTCCAAAGAAAACTAACTGCATTCTTTCTGGTTGATCCAAGGACTGGGGCAGGAAATGGAAACATACAAGATGAGCCTGGAGTATCTTTTAATGCTAGAAAGTAAGGAAGTGATTTTTTTTAAAAACTCACATTGTTGGAGATACGTCAAAGGGACACAGGAGCCAAATGAAAGAGCTTCCAATGGCCAAAGCTGAAACAATTTGAGCAACAAAATAGTGTTGGATTATAACTCAAAGTATAAAACGTATACCCATGAATCCAGACCAATACAAGTAAACGACTGAGTAAATAAATAAATGGGAGAAGAGACAAACCTGCCGTGAAAAGAATTCCAAATAATTTATATAGATACTCCGCCCCCAAGGAGGAGGAGCATAAGTCCCCACTCAGTAAGCATGGGCTGTGCACCGTGACACTCTTCTAAGGGTATAGCACGGAAAGAAAGAAAAGAGTAACTTTTCAGTGCAGAAACCTAACAAGCACTACCTCAGCCAGGTGATCAAGATCCCCACCAAGTGATAAATCAAGCTGATAGGACGTACCCTTTATATGATGTGATAAAAATCCTACTTTACCTCTGTGACCTTCCTCTCAAAAACTCGAGACCCCACTCTGATCATGAGAAAAACATTAGAATAATTCCAACAGAGGAGCATTCTACAGAATACCTGACCAGTACTCCTCAAAACCGTGAAGTGATCAAAAACAAGGAAAGTCTGACAAATCATCACAGCCAAGAGTAGCCTAAGAAGCCATGACGACTAAGTGTAATGTGGTGTTCTAGATGGTAGGATCCTGAAACAAAAAAGGGACATTAGATAAAACTTCAGAAATCTAAATAAAGTATGAACTGTAGTTAATAATAATGTACCAATACTGCTTCATTAATTGTAACAAATAACCAAAATAAGATGTTAATAAGAGGGGAAACTGGGTATGGGAGTATATGAGAAGTCAACGAACTATCTTTACACTTTTTCTGTAAATCTAAAACTGATGTAAAAAATAAACTATATTTTTTGTAAATCCCATTTAAGAATGTATCTAGAAAACACCGAAGAGATTGTAGGTAAGCACTGACGAACTTCACACTACCCCTGCATATATTCAACTTAAAATGTTTGCAACTATTCTGTTACAGAATTTTTCTTAAGAAAATATTTTCAATCACTAACAGCTGCAAACAATTTCATGCAGTAATTCCCAGCAGGGATGTACTATAACTGGAGAACTTTAACCAAAATTCCACTTTTTCCCCTTACATACCACTGCAAATGTCTGAAAGTTTGCAACCTATCATTAACTTATATTGTTTTGTAGTGATCCAAATAACGACCAACTATGTTTGACACAACTCAGAAAAGCTCACGTAAATTTTACATAAATCAAATCGGTGCTAAAATATTCATCCAAGAAAACCTCAAGCATCTAAAGAGAGAACTTAAGAAAAACTATCATCTTTTATTCTGCATATTACGTTCTCTTACACAAACCACGGCTCAAGTGAGCTGCTGCAGAATTAAAATAGATGAATGAAGAAAACAGGAGAGTCAGGAGAAGAAGAGTAAAAAGTAGTAGGCGAAAATGTGCGTACTGTAGTGTAAGAAATGGAGAGGACTAGAATTTGAAATGTATCAAATAAAAACAGTGAAAGCAAAGAGTGGCAAGCCTACAACATAGCATAAAAAAAGAAAAACACCGATATCTCAAAAGTGTCAGCATACATACAAAATTGAAAGCAGGGAAAGCTAAAAATAAACACAAAATGAAATCTTTACATTAGATTAGAAAGAAGCAAAGTGTTCAAAAGGAGACACTAGATTCTTGGTAGGGAACAAACGAGAAGACATCACCCTAAACACAACTTAAAGTATGCCCCCACTATTAATAAAAGGCTGAAAATTACAATATAATCTTATTCAATGGCATTAGAAAGTGGGAGGAAAAAAGATTACAAGAGTATGTACCAAACATTGTGAACAGTGTTTATCTCAGCATAGCGGAATTAAAAGCAAGTTCTCTTTCCTTTTCTTTTGTTTCTGCTATGAAGTTAATGAGTTGTGGAATTTTTAAGTCTTAATCTATGAATTCAGTACTAAAGGCATTCTATAAAATGTTATCACATTTGTGATACATCCTACTTTACACTTTTCGTGGCAAGTCTATGAAGTGCATTTTATTTCAAATTGCAAATAAAAGTGTGAACCTATGACCAAAAATTTTCCATACCAGCAACTTAAGAACTATAGCAATATGTCCAGAAACCTCCAAATCCAAATAGAAAACCTATACTGGGTGAGAAAGGACGACACTGACTCGAATTTCAGTGACCACACGATCTAAATTACTAGCGCACACTTTCCAAACCCAAGCCGCTGTAGAAGAATGGTATCCCTCCAATGGAAATAAATTAGAAGCAATACACAACACAGTTACTTTGTTGTTATATGTACATACATATAAAGAAGGCTTCCGGGAATCCTAATTCTCCTCTCTCTCAAAAAGAACAAAGCCAAGCTCAAACTATTCACATGCACCTGAAACCAAGTTTTATCTGAACTCTTAAGATATTAGCTACTCCCGTTAGTATCTGAGTCAAGAACTGAAACCTTTTAAAGAAAAGCAGTAATACATTTCCTTGAAATATACTTTGTAAAGGAGGATTCCAATTCCTAATGCTCTACCGCTCTAGATGTCTGTGAATTTCGGATCCTAATACTACAGCGTCTTACCCACAAAGATTCCAGCAGTTCTGGGGATATTAGGGGGAAAGAAGGATTTGAGAAACAATGCAAAGGAAGAGAACAATCCGTGCAAAGATTCTGCATCCAGGTAGTCCTTGAAAGGAAAGCAAAAACAGTGAGCACAGGAGGAGCGAGCAGCGTCTACAGAGGCGGAGAAATCCACTCAAAAGGCGTTAACCGACAAGGATACCAGAAGGACCGTCTTCCCAGAGGTAAAAGGGTGAGAATAAAGTGGAGGAAGCTAAGAAAGCAAAGTCAACAGGAATTATGATTGACAACTATTCAAAAACAATGAGCTATCTCAATTCGAGGGGGTATATGTTGGCGGGACTTTGTCCCAAAGTGTCAGTTTGAAAAGAGCCCCCCATTTAGGGGTGGGGAGAGTGGCTCGCGAAGCCCCAAGTCTAACACAAACGAGGAGAATACTCGTTCTGCAGCCGCCCCACGAACCAGATAGGCGCAGGTGTATCTGCGGCAGCTCAGGTTACCAGGAAATGTTCCGGGGACACTGTGGATCTTCTGTGCCCAGCCCTCCCGGGGTCCGGGGGAGGGCGCGGGGCGGCCGGGGGTCAGCAGCGGCCGCAGAGCACCAGGACGCGGCGCCCGGACGCGCTCCGGCGGCAGCGCCCTCGCACACCTGGCTCCCCACACCAGTTGAAAGCAGTCAAAGTGATGAAAGCAGCCGCGGCGCCTGGCACGGCTCCATCCCAGCACACAAAGGCGGATTTTCCAAGCGAGGGCGAGTTCCAGGCGCCGGACCCCGGCGGGCGCCTTTCGCCGAGGGGCTCTTACCTCGGATCCGCCCTCGGGGCCGCGGCTTTCCCCGGAGGCGCCTCAAGCTCAGACGAGGCAGGCGGCGGGAGGAAAAAGCCCCCGACCTGGACCGCGCCCTCCGATCGTCCGCGAGGCGCCCAGCCGCCGTCTGCGCGGAGCTGGAAAGCAGCGATGTCCCGGGCGAGCAGAGCGCCGGCCCCGCGCCGGGCGAGCCCGCCTCGCCCGCCGCCGCCTCTGAAGTCTGGAGCTGCCCGCCCGCTCGCCCGCTCCCCGCCAGCGCCAGCCGCGCGCCGCGCATGCCCAGGACCCCTGCGAGGAGCGAGCGAGCGAGCGCGCGCCGCGCGGCCGGGAGCCGACTCCGCTCTCCGGGTCTTGCCGGCAGCCGAGGCGCGGAGTAACTGGTCGACCCCAGCGCTGGAGGCCAGCCCGCCGGCGGGGTGGGCAGGGCGGGAGAGGCCCCGAGGAGAGGAGGCGGGGCGCGCTCCCTGTTATCCCGGCTGCGATCAAAGTCGGACCAAGGTTCCCAGCCAACGACAGGTTTCCAGAAGTGTCCTAGCAGGACCGACTAGCAGCTGGGAGACGCGAGAAGGGGCTCGAGCTTGCGGAGAGTTCGCCCCTGGGTGAGGGTTGATGCCCGGGGCGGAGGGAGCGCTCAGTTGCAGCGCCCCGCGTACCGGTGCACAGCTCGTGGCCGCTATTCTGACAACACTAAGGCTGCTGCACCCAAGGACCGGCCAGCCTCCGTCTTCTCTCTCGGGCCCTCCCACCTATTTTCACCCCTTTTGCTTTCCTCTTTTTTGTCTCAACTTATGCCGTAAACTGGTGGCACCCGAGGGCCTCCATTCGGTCCCGGGGTCTCCAAACTGCGGGTCCTTAGCTCCAGCTAGCAAGCCGAGACCCGCTTCGCACGCCCGCCTTGGACCCCATTTTTCATGTAGCTGTTGCCAAGAGCCTCATGTGGTTTGAAAGAGTGGAGGCTTCTTCACTTAATACCTCTCGTAACTTAACCAACCCTCATAACTTTCGCCTCCTCCCTGAGGAGATCACGGAGCCCCTACATGAGAAGCCCGTCCATCTGTGAGCATTGTATGTTCTTAGTCTTAAAACGCTTTATTTGCCATAATTATGCCCCCAAACCCATTCTGAATTCTTAAAAGTCACTTGACTCCTAGAAGTCAACGAGAGACTATAGAGAAACTTGGTTAAAATAGATCGGAGCCGCTTGCTTTGTGAAGCAAGGAAAAAGACCAGCCAGGGGAAACTGAGATTTCAGAACAAGGTGGAAATTAACACCGTTATGCTAAAAGTTGGAATAGATCTTAAATCCAGTCCTCTATCTTAAGCAGGAATGCTCTCCAATATTTTCACCACACCACCATCCCCTTAACCTCTTCCAATGTTGGAAGTCTCTTGTTTTATCGATATTATATACAATCACGATTTATTGGATATTTACCTATGCCAGGAACTAAGCAACTTTTATATATTTTTTCTAATCCTTGAAATAAGATACGCCTTATTATACCTATTTAGCAGGAAAGTGAAACTCAGATGTTTTGTTCCCTTTGCCAAAGCCCATGCTGATGCCAGAATTAAAATCCAAGTCAGCTTAACTCTGAGTCTGCATCATCTGATTTGTGAACATCAACTCAACTTCCCTTAACTTACACCGCTAGTACTGGTCCTGCTCCTAGACCATACAATATTGATCTCATTCGTTATAGACATTGCAAGCCTTGAAATATTTGAACCAAAGTATTATGTAACTACCAGAAGACCTTCTAGTATTTTTCTCCTGCTCAAAATCTCCATATCCTTTCACTGTTCTTCAAATGGAGTGGTGAGCATTCATAACCACACTCCTTATGCTGCTTTGAACGCTTTGACTTTTCATTTTCCTCCTTAAATTGTGCACTCAGAAAAGAACACAACATCCAAATACAGTGGGCAGAGATCTAAGTCACCAGGTGTTCAGCAGCCCCTTTGATCAAAGGCTGACAATAAGGCATCCCAAACATGTATTAGGTTTTTCTTTTAGCAAACATATTACCTAGCGTTGAATAAAGCATCCAAGTCTATTTCACATGGCCTACAATTAAACCATATTTTCCACTTTACATAGTCTATACTCCTATAATTCTATATGTTTAAACCTAATTTTTGCCTTTAATCCTTATTAAATTTTATCTTGTTTGTTTTAGGACATAATTTAAGATTTAAAAATATTATTAGTAATCACTTTTAACTCATAACATGTAAATTTAATGAACGTGCCTTCTTTGTTTCCACTTAAGTCTAATAAAAAACAGTTACATAAAACAGGCTTAGAAAAGAGCCTTGCGGCCTTCCACCAAAAATGGTCTCAAAGATAACAGTCATTTATGAACCAACACTTTTGGAGATCAAGCACTTTAGTTCATGCAACCATACTGTAAACAACAAGGATTTCATGAAACGTTTTCTAGATGCTTCACTGAAATGAAAATTCACTGTCTCTAGCATCCCAAAATCTGCCAGTCCAAGTAACTATTTAAAAAAAGAAAGCACTAAGCTAATTAAACAGGATCTGTTTTCAAATTAATCCATTCTGGTATCAGTGATCTCCATTACCTTTTCTAAGTGCTTAGAACCACTGTTATAATCTGTTTTATACACTTGCTGAAAATCTATGTCAGATGTACCTGTTGGTAGTACCACCATTTACAAGATTTTCGTTTTGAAAGTCTCACTTGTTAACATTGGTATGCAGGACGAAAATGATGTAGGACAGAATGAATACATGGAGTGAATGAAGTCCCCCAAATGTGGACTGAAGTAGCAGAACATGAGAAACAGATAATCTACAGCTGGGTGTAAAAGCTAGATACAGAAAATGTGAAGAAATTATCATAGCTGAATGTAATCTGAAGACTAAGAGCTATATCTAAACTACAAAGAGTCAAACGTATTCTTCAAACATCCCTCTCTACTCCAATCCCCCAAACTCATGTATGAATATCATTTAGGGAGTGTTGTGTATAGCTTTGGAAGTAGTCTTAAAGCCACATAGTGCAATATGTATCTGTGGATAAATCCAGAAAATGTATACTGTAGTTTAGGATATTATTATTTTTACAATATAATCTAAGTATTCTAAGCATATCTTGATAGACAAGTAATTTCATTTTGGCTATCACCATCATTATTACTTAGCATTGTTGAAAAAACAAGGCAATTTCTAGGATTATTATATTTGCTCTCACTTTAGGAAGTGCTTGCGCTTCTTCTTACCTTGTAAAGGGTACTTATATTTCTTGTTTATTATGGTTCTTTACATCCATTGTGTTTAACAAATTCACTTTTGTTAAGACTTAATGTGAACATGCTTTATTTTATTATATGCCATATAATTAGATGTGTGAAATTTTGAAAAATGAAGAGAAGAAAATATTATTAAAAAAGAAATTTTCCAAGTGTAACCTCTACTTCACCTATAAGAATCTTTATTAATCAAAAATAAATGGCAACAGCTCTCTATCAGAAATGTACAAGTCCAGCAGATAGAAAATCAATAAGGACATAGTTGAACTCAATAACACCATCTATCAACTAGATATAATTGTCATCTATAGACTACTTCATCCAACAATAGCAGAATACTCATTCTTCTCAAGTTCACATGGAACATTCACCAAGATAGACCATTTTCTGGTCATAAAACACACCCTAACAAACTTAAAAGAATAGAAATCATACAGTGTCTGCTCTCAGACCACAATGGGATTAAACTAGAAATCAATAATAGAAAGATAATTAGAAATCCAAAAATATGTGAAGATTTAGCAACACACATGAGTCAAATAACACATGGGTCTTAATAACACATGGGTCAAAGAAGAAATCTCAAAAGAAATTTAAATATATTTTGAATTAAATGAAAATGAAAATATAACTTATCAAAATTTGTAAAAGCAGTACTCAGGGGGAAATTTATAGTGTTGAATGCATATATTAGAAAAGAAGAAAGATCTAAAACAGTAATCTAAGTTTCCACCTTTGGAAAATAGAAAAGCAAGAGCAAATTAAATCCAGAGTAAGCAGAAGAAAAGAAATAAAAAGAATTAGAACAGAAATCAATGAAATTGAAAAAAAGAAAACAATAGAGAAAATCAATGAAACCAAAAGCTGGTTCTTTGAAAAGATCAATAAAATCAATACCTCTAGCCAAGCTAACTACAAAAAAAAAAAAGAGAGAGAGGACACAGATTACTACTATCAGAAATGAAAGGGGGACATCACTACAGATCCTATGGACATTAAATGAGTAATAAAGGAATACTGCAAAGAACACCATGTCCACAAATTTGATAACCTAGATGAAATGAACCAATTTCTTGAAAGACACAATTTGCCAAAGCTCACACAAGAAGAAATAGACAAGTTGAATAGGTCTATGTATTAAAGAAATTGAATCAATGCTTAATAGCTTTCTAAAACAGAAAACCTCAAGCCCAGCTGGGTTCACTGGTGAATTCTACCAAACATTTAAGGAAGAAATTATACCGATTCTCTATAATGTCTCTCAGAAGATAGAAGCAGAGGCAATAGGTCCTAACTCATTTTATGAGGCCAGAATGACCCTAATGCCAAAACCAAGCAAAGACATTACAAGAAAAGAAAGTTTTAAAAACATTATAAGAAAACTACAGACCAATGTCTCTTGTGAACATAGATAGAAAAATCTTCAATAAAATATTAGCAAATTGAATCCAACAATATAGAAAAAGAATTATCCACCATGACCAAGTGGGATTTAACCCAGGTATGCGAGCCTGTCTCAATATTTGAAAATCAATTAATGTAATCTAACACATCAACAGGTTTCATCAACAAATCTTCATCAAAGAAAAAGAACATGATCACATCAGTAGATGCATAAAAAGCATTTGACAAAATCCGAAACCTAATCATGATAAAAAAAAACTCTCAGTAAACTAGGAATAGAGGGGAGGTTCCTAAACTTGATCAAGAATATCTACAAAACACCTACAGCTGACATTATACATAATGGTAAGAAACTCAAAGCTTTCCCACTAAGATCAAGTACAAGTCAAGGGTATTCCTTCTCACTATTCCTTTTCAACATCATACTGGAAGACGTAGGTAATGCAATCAGACAGGAAAAGAAAATTAAAAGTACACAGATTGGGAAAGCAGAAATAAAACTGACTTTGTTCACAGATGACATAATTGTC